AGCTCCAGCTGTTTTGCAAGGAAGAATGGGAAAGAATTCCAGTCTCTCGATGTGCAAAACTGATAGAGACATACCCCAAGCGACCTGCAGCTGTAATTGCAGCAAAAGGTGGCACTACAAAGTATTAGCGCAAGGGGGCCGAATAATATTGCACGCCCCACTTTTCAGTTTTTATTTGTTAAAAAAGTTTAAATTATCCAATGAATTTCGTTCCACTTCACGATTGTGTCCCACTTGTTGTTGATTCTTGACAAAAAAAAATATTTTTATATCTTTATGTTTGAAGCCTGAAATGTGGCGAAATGTTGAAAGGTTCAAGGGGGCCGAATACTTTCGCAAGGCACTGTATATATGACTTTGTGGCTCACGGTTTAATCCGGGTTAAGAATGTGACTGAGGTCCAGAATCGTGTGGAGCTAAAATGGGTTAAAGTCGAAAGATTCGGTCATTACAGGTTTTAAACTGGTCACAAGTCCTTTTTCTAAGATTCATCAGATTGAAACACGTTAAAAAGGTCTAAAGAAGGATATTTTAGGAAAGAACCGCCCTCTCTACTCTTCGAACAAAACTCTCTTTTCTTATTGGACGAGCACGTATCACCAGAATGATTGACAGTTGAGAGGACCAATAGTCTTGAAGATCCACCCAGGAGTAGAACGTCCTCTTATAAACTTTTAAGTGTTTGTGTGAGATTAAAGCCATGACTGTAGAAAAGTGGCCGAACTGAGGCAAACAAAAGGCCAGATCCTGTCAGACCTCTGAAGCTAAGCAGGGCAGGGCCTGGCTGGTACTGTGATGGGAGACCTCTGGGAACAGCAGGTGCCACAGTGGAGCGGCTGTAAAGTGCCAAACTGTGGCTGTGTCCTTAGGCAAGACACTTCCCCCACATTAGAATGGGTCTGGTGTGTGTGTGAATGGTTGGTGGTGGTGGTGGGAGGGGCTTCTGTCAGTCTGCCCCAGGGCAGCTGTGGCTACAGTAGTTTATCACCACCGTGTTTGGAGAGAATGAATGATGATGTGAAGAATCTTTGAGCGTCCTGAGAAGCTCGATAAAAAATGATGCATTAGTTTTATTATTAAAAGTGAATTTGAAGTTTGCTTTTGGATGTATCCCAAGTTTTTAAAATATGCATGGTGTTATTGGAAAAGGAGGAGCGTGGAGAGGGACAGGGGAGGTGTGATGGAATGTAGCGGGAGGCAGACGATGAGAGGGCTTTATAAGGATTGTAAATTCAGTGCAGCCGAGGGACAGTTTTTACGGCTCTCCCGAGGAGCAGAAAGTCATGGGCTTTGGACGTACAGCTCCAAACAGTCATTCATCATTTAAGAGCAGACTGCAGCCGCCTGTGTCCACTCCTCACACGCCTGACCTTGTTAAACCAGTCAGCAGTGAATATGGACACGGCTGTAAAGAATGCTTCAGTAATTATTATGAAACAGCATTTTAGCACGACACAAATTACTGTTTATGGAAAGAACACAAAAATACAACACAAGGAAATCTAAATGTGTTTTTGTGTTGTCTCCAAAAACTAAATGAGTGGATTAGGGAGTCGCATCGATACCTACAGATCGGGTGCGTAGGAGCAGAGGCCAGTATGGCCTAATGTCAGAGAGAGAAAGATCCCGCACACCGTCTTACTCACAAATTAAACAATATTTATTTAAATTGCGACGTTTCGGCGTTATGCCTTCATCAAGCAAACATCTTTTGCACCTGTTTGCTTGATGAAGGCATAACACCGAAACGTGTCCAAAAACTAAAACCTTTTTGCATTATTCTTTTAAAGAAGCAAGAACTAAATGCAATGTTTTCCAGGTCATAATAATAATAATAATAATAATAATACGAAGAAAATGTATGTGTTTTATATCTCGCTTTTTTGGACTCTCAAAGTCTCTTCACGTCATTATTCTTATACTCCAAGCCGGGACTGGTCAGACATCCCAACGCATTAGAACCAGGAAACTATGAGCCCAAAACAGTGAGTGCAACACCAGCCGTTACAGAGTTGCAACGTAACACTTTCCATTGGTCAGCATTGGCCTACACTGCAAAAAAAAGTGAGGAAAAAAAAATCAAAAACTTTTTGAATTTGGCAAAACATATTTCAATCTGACCACATTCTGACTGTGGTAAAACCAGAGTCTCCAATGGGACAAAACAAAAATTATCTTGTTTTAAAAAGATACAAACTGTTTCCCTTGGAATGAGGAAATAAAGCAGTTTTTTAATCAGACTTTGTACCATTGGAGAATCTTGTTTTAACAGAATGTGTCAGATTAAAGGACAACTAAACCCCAAATCAACTCTTTAAACTCATAAACTGCATAAATATGTTTTCCATAGTGCTCATGTCCTGGGGAATGTCATGACATGAGTTAATGAGTTAATTAGATAAAATTTGACTTTTGAGCCTAAAACTGTCTTTGTGGCGCCCTCTTTACCTTTTCTATGGTGCTACATTTGGTGTCTGGCCTCTCATTGGCTCTGGAGTGCAGTGTGACATCACTTTGTACAGTGTGACATCACTCTGAGCCTGTGGTATAAAACCATCCAAGTCTCACACACACCTGCAGCGAGTTGGAGTCTGGCGACATCTAGTGGTGTAAAATGACATCAGTTCAGAGCCACTACTGCTGAGATAATTCTGTGGTTTAGGTTCAGGTCGAGCTACAATTATCTCAAAGTGTGTAAACAAAAGAATGAGAGTTTCTGGTGTGAACTATTACTTTAAACTAACAATGACAACTGTCTGGATATTATTGTGTGACCACGCCCAGCTCTAAGCCCCCTTCTTGTCTCTGGTCCTCGGGAAACGCCCCTTTTTAGAGAAATGTTCATGTGGGCGGAGCCAGGCACTGGTGTTTAGTTTTCCTTTAAGATAAAAACAACCCGATTCCAGCTTTAATGACCTCATATAGGATCATGTTTTGCGGCGTACACACATGTTCTTATCGGACTGATCACAAACACACCAGAACAGGACCAATTATAACCACTGTGGGACTTCTCTGGTTCCCTATAGCATCAATTAAAGCTTGAGATCCCCTTAAAGCAGCAGCTACACGGCGGCAAGTTCACTCGTCTCCTTCCCTGTTCAAAATATCAGAGCGGTGTGGTCTGTCCTTGAAAATGGCATCCAGCTGGCACAAAGTTGGTTCCCGGGAACACAGTGTGAGATGGCGCCTACACAATATACAGCCTTGGATAGGACCATGCATCTCTCTCTCTCTGAGTCTGCCTCGGTCCCTCCTTCATCAGATTGCTTTCCTGCTCTGCTGTGCTTTGCATCCATATGAGTCTAATCCCAGCTTTCTCATATACAAAACCAACAAGAAGCGCAAACAGAGAGAGCGCCGTGCCGCCTTCTGGAGGAGATGTTCACACGGATAAAGAGACACAAGGGCAGGATGTGTGTGTGCAGCCCGCGGAGGAGCAGATAGCATCTTGTTATGGACGCATTAGTATTGTTGTAATGAATTCTGGGCCTGAAACATTTATTTTTTCTTTTGGGGGCTGTATTATTAGGGTTTGGGTTTTGCTGATTGCTTGATTGTCCAGTGGTTGTTCAGTAATCCAGGTCATAGTGAGTCATGTTTATTTATAAAGCACATTTTACAGACCAAGGTACGGACCCAAAGCGCTTCTACAATGTTCAGATATTGTTCCATTCTCTCCACACGGTGAAAATCAAAACCTCCGACCACACACCGTCCATTCATTACATTTAGACCTATTTTACATGATTTTAGCGGTAGGGGGAACCCGGAGGAAACCTACGCAGACACGGGGAGAACATGTAAACTCCACTCAGAAAGACCCCAATCCCGGTTGGATTGGGGTCTTTCTGACTTCTCAGCAAGAAGGTCCTGTACAAAAAAACAGAATCAGATCTGTGCCTACAATAACACATGACTGTGGAACCGTCTGCCTTAGAGCCAGGGGGTTCTACTCTCTCGCTTTAGGCTCCACTCTCTCGCTTCAGGCTCCACTCTCTCGCTTCAGGCTCCACTCTCTCGCTTCAGGCTCCACTCTCTCGCTTCAGGCTCCACTCTCTCGCTTCAGGCTCCACTCTCTCGCTGTAGGTTCCACTCTCTCGCTTTAGGCTCCACTCTCTCGCTTCAGGCTCCACTCTCTCGCTTCAGGTTGAATGGACTGAGATGTGGGGGCCCCTCTCTGTATAAACCCGACAGTCAGTGATGACCAATACAAGAGTGG